AGATCCGAAAAAAACAAACCAACAAACAATAGAAAAAAAAAAAAAAAAACCTGAAACGCGGCACCTGAACCCCAAACTCCGAGACCTAAACCTCAAGCCCCTTTACCCTAAACCCCCAAACCAAAAACAAGCACCAAATTCCTTAGGACCCCAAAGAGCCCCCTTCTGAAACCCAACCTAAACCCTAAACCCTAAGCCCTAAACCCTAAACCGCACGAGGCCCACACTGCGGCGTGGGGGCGCCCTCGCGCGTCATCCAGTTCTGAATCTCCAGGGCATCGAAACCGATGGCTGAAAGGCCTCGCACCAAAAGGCGGTGATTGGGTTTCGGGTTTAGGGTTTAGGGTTTAGGGTTTAGGGTTTAGGGTTTATGGTTTGGGGTTTAGGGTTTAGGGTTTAGGGTTTAGGGTTTAGGGTTTAGGGTTTAGGGTTTAGGGTTTGGTGCTCAGGGTCTGCAGAGTGTAGGGCTTGGGGCTTAAGATTTGGGACGTGAGCCGAGTGAGAACGCACGTGAAAAACGACTCATGCACCTTCCTGTAATTTGCAGGATTTGAGGGCTTGGGGGCTTAACTCATGGTTGACGGCAAAGATGTGGCTCAAGGATGTGGTTTAGCCCTGAACCCTAAACCCTAAACCCGAAACCCGACACCCGACACCCACCTTGGAGGCAACGCTTGATGCGCTCGTTGCCGCCGTTTTGCACCTCGGTTGAGGGCTGGGGCTTTCGGAGTTGGGTGGCTGGAGCTTTGCTTCCCTCAAAGGGATTTAGGTTTTGGTGAGATCTGGGGCTCGGATCTGGGGTTGAGGGTCTCAGGGCCAGACAAGCCCCCACCCTAAACCCCCTAAAGCCAACTCTCAGGCCCCCTTGAACCCAACACTCCGGAAGCCCTCCGAGCACTCCACCCGAAGCCCACAACCCCCTCCAGGAACCCAACCGCCGAACCATCCGAGGAGGCGACCATGGTGCCCAGGCCTTGCTTGAAAGCTGCCTTCGCTTCATCGGAGTGTTTCGCCCCGGGTTTTTTTGGGTTTAGGGCTTGGGGCTTTGGGTTTGGGGGCGTGGGGCTTCGACCCACGCCCCGAGAAACCAAACCTTAAACACTCTAAAACCATGGACCCGCGCCTTGTCCCCCCTCTTGAGGTACGGCACCACCATGGCCAGATCCTGCAGATTCGGGGGGGCTAAGGTGGGATGCAAGCTGCGGGACTGTTCCACAGCCAGCCCCCTAAACCAGCCCCACCGAACCTTCCCCGCCCACAGAGTCGCCTTCAGATTGAAGGTTTAGTTTAGGGACTGGGGTCTCAGGTTTAAAGTTGGGGGTTTTGAAGGGGCTGCATTCAGATAAACACCCAAACCCCAAACGCTTGAGGCCCCAAACCCGAAAGGCCCCATACCCTAAAGGCACCCTACACCCTCTGCAAGGAGACTCCCAGGAGATGCAGGTCCTGCTGCTCCTCTGGCGAAAGCTTCAGCAGCCTGCTGCGCAAGGTGGCCTGGGCCTGGCTAGGATTGGGAACTGAGAGACTCCAAGGGTTTAGGGTTTGGAGTTTAGGGCATAGGGTTTAGGGTTTAGGGTTTAGGGTTTAGGGTTTCGGGTTTAGGGGTTTAAGGTTTAGGGTTTAGGGTTTAGGGTTTAGGGTTTATGGTTTAGACGGTTTAAGTGGGGATGTTCCCCCTTATACTGACAGTCCTTAATGTGATTTTAATAGGGGGTACGAGAATCTCTGCTAAGGACTGCTAGACAAAGGGGGAACATCCCCAAGGCTTAGGGCTTAGGGCTCAAGCGCTTTCAGGCTTGGGGTTTCGATGGTTTATGGGGTGATGCACCCCATGACGGAGTACAACTAGGGCTACCGCGGCGACTAACAACACGAACCCCCCCCCCCCCCAAGAACACCAGAACCCGGCAGAAAGCCGCAACCCTAAACCCTAAACCCTAGACCTCCCGAGGATCCCAGGGTGAAGGTGAAGCCTGATCCTTGAACACCATCGAGTTGGGGAAAATCGACACCAATGCCCCAAAACCCTAAAACCCCAAAGCCCAAAACCCCAAAACCCCCTCCCGAAACACCCCAAATCCCAAAAACCCTGGACCCAAACCCATACACCCACCCCCCCCCCCAAACAAAAAGTTATAATAATCATGATAATAATAATAGTAATAAAACCAAAACCCCAACACCCCCCCCCCCCCCCCAAAGGAAAAAAGATATAAAGAAAACCTTAGGTGGGCCCACCTGTGTTTGATGCTTCAGCCGCACCACGTTGTGATCTATGCACTCCGTGCCTGGGCTCAGAGGGGCTCTGGGCCCAGCTTTGGCTTTATGGGCTTTATGGGCTTTAGGGGCTTTAGGGGCTTTAGGGGCTTTAGGGGCTTTAGGGGCTTTAGGGGCTTCAGGGGCTTTAGGGGCTTATAGGGGTTTTCAGGGGCTTTGGGGGGCTTTTGGGGGCTTTCAGGGGCTTTTAGGGCTTAAGGGCTTTTAAGGGGTGCTAGGTGGGGTTTGGAATGGGTTTGTTTGGGGCTTTGGGCTGAGGCAAGCAAGTCGTAGCCCTTGCCCTGCTCTCTGGACTCACATGCTAAACCTTGAACCTCTCATTCAACAACATGCCTTGAAGCCTTATTCTGAGATGCCGCCCAGGCTCTGAAAACGCTGAGCAAGAGGGCAACATGGCCAAGCCGGAACATGGCCTGCAACTTGCGATCTTGCTTTGGAGGGCACAAGGACAGGGACATAAACCCAAAACTCAAGGTAGGCTCTCAGCAGCCTCAATGCGTTCCTGCGCATGCCCCTTGCTCAAGGCTCATGAGGCTCAAAGCCTTCAACACCAGGGTGGGGTTTGGGGATTGATCTAACTCATGGACGAAGAGGCGCAACGTAGTTTAGGATTTGTTCCCGGCACAGACCCCTGCGGCACCTCGTCTGCCCCCTCTCGGCCACTTCACTGCATTAGGAGAGCCCGCGGGCTCTTGAGCCGACATGCCCCCAAAAGGAAGAAAGCTCAACCAAAGCTAAAGCACCGAGAAAGCCTTTGATGGTGAGGCGCACCGGCTAGCGAACATCGCACCTTGAGGTTAACATTGCCTAACATTGCCTGGCCCCGTGCCTTTGTTGGCCTCTTGGTCTCACTTGGACTACATACGCTAAACCCTTAACCTCACATCTAGTTCGACTTGTCCACACTAGTCGGGGCTTCGCGTAAAAACGGCAACTAAAACATGGCACGGTGCGACGCCCCACATTCTGAGTTGTGTCGTGCTGTACGCGAAGTTTGAAGAGATCTCCGGAGAGCTGAAAATGCAATTCTTCAAGTTCAGCTGCACAAGCGAACCACTCCTCTCAACAACATGTCAATGTATACTGTACTCAATTTCTGGGCTTGCAAAGATCAGATGTTTATTCCGTCTGCAGTTCTTTTAGGTATGCAACTTGCAGCGACTCAAGTGAAAAGGAGCTGCATTCCGGCCACATGGCACGTCCCTCGCTGGGCACTGCCCTCGCTGGGCACTGCCATCGCTGGGCACTGCAACACAGCACGCTCTAAGGAACTCGGTGAGACGCCCTTGGGGCCCAAGATAAGGTGCGTTTCTTTAGCTGACTCGGGAGAATCCTTCAGAAACCCTCTAATGCGGACAGGAACTGAAGCCCAAACCCTCTGCCGCCCTCAGGAATGACACCAAACTGTTGAGAGGGACATCAAGATGCACTCGTGACGCTCTCCATGAACCTGACTTTCAAGCTGCGCCATGGGAGCTGACTAGGCCTCAAGAAGGAACCTCTGCTGGCGGATGTCTCAAGAAAAGTTTGATGGTTCGAGGGGAGGCTCGAGGGAAGCTTATGCAGCGCAGCACCCCCCCGAAGCCTCCGTGATGCGACCAATCAGCCTTGAAACGTACGCCCATCCACGTCTCGAAGCCTTTGGCGATAAACCCTTTTACGAAAATCAAGGCATGGACTCCGCCTGAGCTTCCTTCAGTCGGTGAGCTGCCCTCTGAAACGTCAGCCTCAAGGCACCAAGCTGAGAGGAAATCTTTTCGAGGCTTTGAGGAGGTCTACGGTGCGACAAGAGGGACCCCTCAGCTCTTTTGCATGCCGTCGCCGGAACTTGCGATCTCCGGAATCGGAACCTTCAATGCTATGTAAGGGCGCCAGGGTCCATCGGAAATGCCGTGAAGGATGACCTTCACACTATTCCAGCATGACGATACCCTACTCAACGCTAACAAAAAAGCAACGGCATCTGGAAACATCCGATCTACCTGGCTAGCCCTGCTCACCCTGCTTGCATACTAAAGGCTGGAGGCAACGGAAACTTGTGCTCCGGAACCGGCCAAATCAGAAGTAATCGGACTCGAGCCCCTGGCGCTCTGTTCAGATAGGCAACATATCTGCTAAGCAGGAAATTGATTCAAAGCCAAGGGCTCGACATCCCCTACTTCTGAGCACTACTGCTGCTGGCCTCAGCCACAATGGCTTCTGCTAGGCTCTGGTTCTTTGCTAAGGTTCGACTTTCAACAAGACCTAGGATGAGCTTCCTTCGAAGTTTCTGCACCCTCTCCAAGACCATGCCCCCAAACCCGAGACTAGAATCGATGCTCGGACCTCAACCACCACTTTAGCACCTTCTCGGGAAATCTACCTCCCTCCCCACCCGCAGAAGTGGGTGTAGAGTTGAGACGAGAACGTCACCCACGCAACAGGCGACACAAGCGACGTCAACGGAGAGAGACGATGAGAGACGCAAGCCACGCGAAGCCAAAGCTCCAAAGACACAACAGCTCTGTACTGCCCTGTCAATCCGCCAAACATACTGAGCACGAAACGGCACGATCTTGCCCAGAAACCTAGTTCCTCCACAGGCCCCACAGTACGCGCCCTACTTTCGTGCCAAATATACCCCAGACATCTTTACGAACCATGCACCGAACCCGGGCCAGGAAATCAGAATCTACAGGCATGTTGCTGTTGCCATGCCCTCGGCGATGCATCCTGAAGTACTCTCAGTTCGAACCGAACCAATTATTATACCAGCTCTTGGACTTGTGACCGCTCCTCACGATATCGGACTTCTCTGCCACGAAGGAGATGTTCTGATCCTGCCGGAATTTCTTGAGCAACTTTTCCGTGAACTCCGGGTCCTCTGCATCTCTCAGCAATTCGCTCTGCTTCTTCAGCTTCTGCAAGACCTTGACTCGATTTTGCCAGCCATGCTGTTGCTTGCTCTTCTCGTTTTCAATCATAATCTCGATGTAAGCTTCGCTGGGGATGGCATTGGGGCGCATTGCAATCTCCGCAAGACGTTCCTTGCACTTCTTGGTCCTCACCAAGCAGTCTGCCAACACAGTGTGTGCTGAATCCAAGTCATTCAGAAGACCTTGCATGACTTTCTCCTTGTCCAGCTTGCCCTCGTTGGCAGCATCGTACCTCTTCTTCAGCTGTTCCTGCGTGACCTGCTGGTACTCCACGTACCATTCAAGAATGTATGGAAGGTTCTGATGCTGTGACCAATGGCACCTTCTGCTGCAAACTGTGCACTGTCCATTTTGCATGACGCAGCATCTGGCCTTGTCCGCATCATTCGCAAAAGCGCAATTCTGGTGGCAAGTCATGTTGCATGTCGTGCAGGTTGTGGTCAGGTTGCTCGTTGGTTTCTTCTTGAACTTGTCCACCGCCACCTTCATCTTGAAGTCCTTTGAACCGTCCATCTCTGCGGCAAAACGGGCGAAGAGCTCTGCTTGCGTCTGGAGCGAGCTGGCCTTGCTCAGGAGGATCTGAACTTGCGGTCCCAAGTTCTCGAGGGCAACTTCCAAGGTCTCGCGCTCACTCAGGACTTGCTGCGTCAAATGCAAGCTCTTGGCAGAGAACCTTTCCAATGCATGGAAAAACTCCTCCATGCTCTGTTTGCCCATGTCCCAAAACATCTTGCTGACCGCACCTGTCTCCGGGCTGTGCGGATCAACGAACAAAGCGGAGTTGTTGAACTTGTAATGTGCCACCATGGGAATCCCGCCCGCCCTGACAGCCTCGAGAGCTTGTGGTTTTTCACCGTCAGCAAAGGTGAAGCAAAGGGCGATGTTCTCAGCTATGTCCTTGCCGAAAAGGCTCAAGATAGCGTCCCAAACGTACTGTTGAGACTCAGTGAGCCGAGCTGCTGATGCTTGGGTGACGAAGCAGACTGCCGATAGCGAGGGAACTTGACCGGCAAAATCCTGAAAGAACTTCTTCATCTGGTCAACAATCTTGGCATCGAAATGGAGACCCCTGGTATCCCCGAAGCCGGGTGTGTCAATGATGGTAAAGTTGGCATTCACCGGGCCATCCCTCACTGCTGGAATTTTGTAAGCAGTGACTGCATCGGTCTGGCTTGCTGCAGCTCCTGACAAAAGCAAGATAAGACAAGAATCTGTGTGTGTGTGTGTATCGACCAGGAAATGATGGCAAGTGCAACACTGCTGGGTAACCGCCCAAAGAACAAAAACCTTCAAGCAAGGCAAAGACTTGGTGCATGCTTCCGTCTCTCCGGCTCTTGTGCTGCGTCGCGGTCCTGCATGTAAAGACTCAGCAGTGACCGTCTGCTGTTCGTCGATGACTTTGAACCGGACCTTCTCCGCCCACTTGACACCAAGGATGTAGTTGAGCATGCTGTCAATCTGGGTGGATTTGCCGGCACCAGTCTGGCCAACGACCAGTACAACGACATCCCTCGAGATGTTGCGATTGATGAAAGACTCTGGAATTGCGGCTTCCAGCACACGGAGTGCGCACGGATGTGTTGGCGGAGCAATGCCATCCGGGAATTTGTAGCTATAGCCTCAGCGAGACTAGCAATCAGAAGGATATCATCTATCACCACACTCCGTCTGATAACTAAGCTCATGACAAAGCTCTTCCACTTGCCTGAATGGAAGATAGCTGATCGTGAGGGACTTTTTAACCTCCTTCCGCGCTGCCGTCAAAGTCTCCGCCAATTTCCCTCCAATGGACGGGGCGGCGTCCCTCTTCCACAACTCTTCCTGCACGAGCTCTCCGAGCTTTCTGCAGTCCTCCTTTGCGAAGTCACACTCCATCGCCACCTCGAGAAGGTCTTCCAAGCCCATGCTGAGAAGCATCTCCTCGTGACCGTAGTTGTTGGGATGGTTGTACATTTTCTTCGCGTATTTGTCCAAGCCCTTCTGCGCCAGAAACTCAATCAAACTCTGCGGAGGCTCACTCTCAACTGGCAGCCATGTATCATCGCTGTCACTGACATCACCTTGTGCTTCCGGAGATCGCAATGCCGCCACCACCTGCACGAATTTCCGTCGGTCGTCCTTGTTCATGCCTGCCTCGGACGCAACATCAACCAAGTCCTCCTCATCCATGGCCATGATGCACTCTACACTGCCCAGAAGACTGCTGTGGTATTTGGACAGGCCACTCTCTTCCAGCAGCTTGAGAAAGGGCTCAGCAACTGAGCCCCAGCTGCGCAGCGCATCAAGCACATTCATCAGCTTCATCCGCGCATCCTTCTTCATACCTGCTTCCAAGGCGAGGTCAGTCACTTCCTCTTTGTCCATGCCAAGCATTCGCTGCACCTCGTTCGGCAGCTTTGCTCGGTATTGGAACAAGCCGTTCTCGTGTAGGAGCTTCACGAATTGCCTCGCAAAGTGCGCGGCAGCGATAGGGTTTTCCCTGCGAAGCACGTTGATGATGCACAAGAACCTGTGTCGTGCATCCTTCCTCATGCCTGTCTCTGTTGCCAAGTCGGTCAGATCTTCGTCTTGCATTGCAAGCAACTGCTCCACATCACCGAGCAGCTGGTGCCGGTACTGTGACAAATCGCTACTTTCCAACAGAGCAACGAAACGCCTACGCACGCAATGCTCAATGCTCCCATCATGTAGCACCTTCATCACGCTCAAGAACTTCTGACAAGCACTTGGCTCACTGATGCCCACTTCTGACGCAATCTTCATGAGATGATCCTCTTGCATCCCCAACATCTTCTCCACTTCCGGCAGCTTGGATTGGTACTGGGACAAGCCGCTGTCCTCCAAGAGTACGCCGAAGTAGGCTTTCTCTTCATCGATTTGTTCCTGCCGGCACCAATGTGAGTATTACCATCACCACACTTCTATGACAAGCTACGCATCCAGCATGCAATCACTGTGCGTGTGATCGTCCTTGAGCGCAATGGGGACGGAATCTGCACCTGTGTCTGGTAGCTCGCCTGCCAACTTCCTGCAGCCTGCGCGGCATACTAAACTTGACTCCGCATGCGAAGGTGCTCTATGTGGAGTTTGACGACATGTCGATTGGGGGATTGTCGGCATTGTGTTGGTCGATGTTGGTGTGAGGCTTATGTCAGAGAAGCTGAGGGCCTGCACTTTGCAGGAGGTTGGGCATCTGCGTCATCGCCATCGTACTACTTGTAGCAAGAAGGGCCGACGCAGTTGCTGAGGCAAACGGCTGCAAAAGCCACACCCGCAAAGAACTGACCGTCTCCACTTGAAGCACTGAAGCCACGTGCTTGCCAGATGCCACCCAAGCATGGCTTGTTTCTGATACTGCGACACTACCTTGCCATCAACTGAGCAGTGCACGGCGACCCTCCGCGAGCTGCCCCACCTCTGAAACGTACACGAGCTGAAAGCAGAACCAGAACAGATCAGAACAGCCACACACCACATCTGCTGACCTTGCGCACAAGCATCCAACCCGCCTGCAGATGCAAGAGCAGTGGAAGACAGTAGAAGTCGAGAGACTTGTCTGCAATCCACCTGAAGATTGAGCATCTGCCAGTCGACCCTAGGTTTTGCTTTTGTTCGGCGCTTAAGTTGATTGATCTTTGCCTGGCTTGATTCGGGAATCACCTGGAACATCTGGCCATGGTATAATGCGGTGGGTTCCCGGGCTCCCAGGCCTGCACACATCGCCACGAGTCGACAACCTCGTTTAGGGCGTGGGCGTAGGGCCTAGGGCTACTTCGTGCTTGTTTGGAGGTTGGGACTGGTAGTTTGGAGGTTAGGAAGCTAACAAAGCTAACCCTCTTTACCCGCTAACACTCGCGCATAAAGCCATGCAAGGCAGGGTCTTGTAGTGTTCGCCCGGTGCTGTCCTATACTTTAACATGAAGACAAGTGATGCATTGCGGCCTGAAACATATTCGACTCTTGGAAGACTCTTACAAACACAATGGCACATTACAAGCAGACCAGGATCCCTTCCCAAACCCTTCCCCTTTTACACTAATCCTGTGGGACCCAATGGCTCCCTGTGACACCCCCTTGAGACCGCCCCCCAGACCCCTCGCCCAGAACCTGCTCTAAAACAACAACGACAAAGACAATGCCCAAGTGAAGCCGTATCTTAAACACTCAGGTTGAGAATCCTTGCAAGCATCCCGCCGATGCAAACGATTGAGCTGGGAGCCGGGCCGTCGGGCACATTCTTGCCACCATGGGGGCAGGCTTGACAAACGGGCGAGGTTCTGCAACCTCTCTTGCATTATGCAAAGGGTCTCTGAGGCTTGAGTCCATGCCATGCGCAGTGAATGCAAGCCGTGCTGCTCTCAAGGCTTGAGCCGTGCAGGCCCTGGCGGTCTTGATCGCTTCCGATGTGACCCATCTAAGGCTTCACTTGTGGCAACAGAATTTTGGGGCCTGGACCCCCCCGGATCGTTTGGAGGAGCCGCAGACCGATGCTGTGGGGGGTCCGGCTCCTGAAACTACTCAAAAAAAAGGGGTCAAAAAGTGGCTTTGGGTGTGGGGGGAGGGTTTGGGGTGCCTGTTCTGACAACCTATACACCTCCGGCCCGAGGCCTCCGCGGATTGTAAACGCTTGCGCGCGCCGCTTGGGCTGGCCCAAGTGGCTCTCCAAGAGGGGGAAGGGTGGTAGGGGGACCGCGCCAAAGCGATTTTGCTTGAAGCTTCGCAACGCCATGTTAGGGAGTCAGGTGTTGGGGGGGTTTTGGGGGTGCGGGTCGCCAAGAAGGGGGTCCAAAGAGGGAGGGCTCAACAGGGCGGGGGTTGAGGTGGGTACGGTTCGTAAGGACCAGGCCTCCCCCCCCTCCCCCCCTCCCCCCCCCCGCCCCCCTTCCCCCCCCCCTCCCCCCCCCCCCCCTCCCCCCCCCCCCCCCTCCCCCCACCCCCCCCCCACCTCAACTGGTGTGAGCATGGCCGGGGATGCATTACACGAGCAGAAGAATCTAAGCTTGAACCTAAACCCTGAACCTTAAACCTTAAACCTTATAAGCCCGAAGCACACCCAAAGAGTGAACCTTGAGCCCTAAGCCCTCAATCCTAAACTAACCCTCAACCCTAAACCCCAAACCATAAACCATAAACCCGGAACCCTTTTTGCTTCAGGGCTCCTGTGGTAGCCCTAAATCCGGGACCCTAAACCCTAAACCCAACCCTTATTGCTTGGGGTCCAGCGCCTTCCTTGGGCGCTGCGGAATCACCATGCTCACGCGGATGCGCTGGGCCGGGCCGAGGCGGGTCGCGTAGCGTTAAAATTATGGTACTGCAATCTTTGCGGGTTCATGATGTGCGAAGGCTGTACTTTTTGTGACCGCCGGAAACTGTACTGGCTTCGGCCCGGTCGCAACTTCCCAGTTAAAAGTGAAAGTATTGTGCTGCCACCATGGCATGCTATGAGCACGCTGCAAAGGGCACTAGCCAGACCTTCACTCGATGCCACAATCACCACGCTGCTTACTGCACAAGTGCGTGCACAGAGCTAGTCCCTGTGGAGTGGCCTTCCTACAAGTATGGATGATCCCACTGTGTAAGCCCAAGCTTTCGGTTGAAGTAGTAACGCTCGCCGTCGGAGGTCACAGCTGTCTCCCAACCTGCTGGCATGTTCCCCGCTTGCACCTGGATGATGTCGCGGGCAGCCTGCCGCACAGCCACCTGATACTTGGCCGTACTTAAGGGCTTCAGCTTGAGCCCCCTTGCCATGTGCTCCTGCCCGGGGGCGGCGACCGGGAACACCGAGACGATCTTGGTCGACTTCACCTCCACTTTGCCGGCAACCTCGTGCAGCTCATACTTTGCATTGATGGCCGCCGCCTGGCAATTAGGAAGCTCCTTGATCACCCCGTTGTCGTTCTTCAGGCTGGTGCCCCAGCTTCCCCCACCTTTCGGCTGGCCAATGACGACCCGGTCTTTCACAATCCCAAGGTTAGCACCGGCCTGGGCTGTTTCTATCTGAGGGTACAGCGCCGCTCGCTGCGTCTTCAGCTCTGACAGCCGTTTCCCCAGCGCCTGCCTTTGCTCTTTTGGCAAGTTGCCTTTAAGCTGGGCCTGAATCTGGTCGGTTGTGGCTTGGAGGTTCTTCAACTCAGCGGTCAAGTTCGCGAGCTGCTCCTTGCTTGCACTGACGTCCTTACAGAGTTGCAAGCCCTTCTTTTGCACCGCCTCGCTGGATTGCTGCGTCACCTTCTTCAACGCATCAGCATCGTGGAAGACTCCGGATGTCTCAGTCGTGGCGCTTCCTTGCAGGCCAGTGGTAATGCGAGCAATCTGCTCCTCTTCAGTGATGGTGGCGGAATGATGCAGGTAGGAGTGGTCGTGCTCCAGCTCTTTCAGCTGGTCGACGACCTTGCTCTGCCTGTGGGCTTCCCACTTGACGCGACCTGCTGCGATCGCGGCTCCGGCGGCCCCAGAAACACAACCACCGATGAGGCCCATCACAACAGCATCACCGAGCTTGACGTTGTCATCAAAGGCAGCGGACAGGAGCCCATCCACCGTGCCTGTGAGGGTGGATTCACCGAACGCCCGACCAGCATCCTGGAGAGCCTTCAAGCTTGAGGGCTGTACAGAAGCTGCACGCTCCCCGATCTGATCCGCTGTGGTATTGGCAGCCTGCCGGGCCTTTTCAACGCTGCCGAGGGCCTCTTTGCAGGCACCCACACCAGCGATGGCTCCAGAAATGAAGCCGGTTGCGGCGCCCGCAGCCGCAGCCTGTCCGAGCCCCTCATCCCACTTCCGCTGGCTCGCCAGGTTGTCGATGACGCAGCCAGCCATGCTGCTCACAGTGCCACCAACGGCATAGGCCCCGGCATGGGAAACCACCACAGCAGCCTTTGCAGCAGTTGAGGTGACGCCAATGGCCGTTGTGGCCGAGCTCATGGCAGCACCAATGCCAAGGCCAATGCCGCCAGACACCAGGCCAGTAGCCAGCCCGACCTGTGCCGAGTCGCACAACTACTAAAGGCAATCCTCCAACAAACCCCCCGCTCCCCACGCAACAACCACAAAAACACTCAGGAGAGCGCGCCCACGCTCTTGCCGAACTCCTTCCACTCCAAAGAGCCTCCATTGAAGGCCATCTTCATCCCCGTACTCAAGCCGGCCGATAGAAGCATTCCACCCACTAGCGCACCAGCAGGCCCACCCACTATGCAGAGCGCCACACCTGCAATCGCAGAACCGGCCACAGCCACCCACTGCAGAGCCACCTCCCACCAGGCTGGTTTGTTCAAATCCTTGATCTTGGCATCCAGCTCTTCCAGGCCCTTGCTCATTGACTCCATCTCCTTAGCCTCCTTTTCCAGCTCATTGCTGCAATCCTTCCCGGCACGCCGTAAGTCCTGGAACGCCTGGCTCGTGGCGTCCACGTTCTTCTCCGCCGCAGCTTGAGCGGCCTGCTGTTGCGTAAGCTGAGCCCTTTGCCCCACGTCACTGAAGACTTGCAACTGCTCCGCCAAGGCCTCGTTGCCCCGCGTAAGGTACACAGTGGCTAGCTCCTGCGCGTGCAGAAGCTCCTCTGCCTGAACTTGCTCCAGCAAACGCAGCGAGGTCAGCATGTTGGCCATGTCCTGCAACCAAAAACCTGTTCCAACATGCCTAAGCACCCCTATAGTTTCGTCAATACAATGGCGTTTCCGGAAATTTCCGTTGGCATACAAACACGACATAATCAGGTCGTTGAATCGAGCTTGCCCCCAAGCGCAGAGTCCTCAGCACGAAAGGCTTCGGCGATGGCACGCGCCACGCGCATCTCCTCCTGCTGCGCGAGGTCATCTTCGTGCGACAGCCGGGCGAGCTCCTCGATCAGGGGAGCCTTCTGCCTCACGAAGTGATCCAAGGCGTTGGACTTGGCCGGGCCCACCGCGCGCGGATCCTTCTCGTATCGCTCCGCAAACTGCTGCACCAACTGCGCAACAAGAGCAACCCTGCCTCCACTGTCAGAGTCCACAGTGCTATGGAGCTGTTCATCAGAATAGCCCACAAAAGCCCTCTTCCAGCAATCCTCTGCCACCAGGAGGCACTGAGACTCGCTCTTGGACATGTTCAGCTTGCACAAGCCAGCTCGGTCCCTGGAGATGCGGCGCAGGAACTCCTGCAAATGCGCAGTGCACTCCGTCTCGGAGAGGCAGCTCAGCGTGCCCAAGCGCGATTGGATCCTTGCCAGAGACTCCCGCAAGGCATGGTTCGAATGCTCTGCCAGATCTTGCATGGGCAATGGGAGATTGCTCACACAAGCATCCAGCCGCCTGGCATACAAGTCGGCCGAGTCTGCAACGGCCTCGGCGGCCTGCGCATTCGCTTGCATGCTGAGCAGCTTGTCGGCACCTGCATCAGGCTCTTGGAGGGAGGCGTTGTAACTCTGTACGAATTCATTCCAGGGCACAGACGGTGCGAGCACAACTTGCTCTGCAAGATCCCGGGTGAAAGTGCTGCCCATCGTCAGGGCGCACACTGTTTGGAAGCCCAATGCCAGGGCTGCCACAGCAATCTCGCTCCGAGCCAACGGCGTAAAGTCCTCCGGGAAGAGCAAGCACAGCGAGACCTTGTTGATCTGGTTGGGCATGGCAGGAACAAGGGCCTCCCAATCAGCGCCTGTGTCATGTTGGACCAGGTGAACAACAAGAGCGGCGACATCTTCTGGGAGGGGTTGGGGCCGGTCGCAATCCGCCAGGAGCATCGCCAGGTGTGGCGCCCCCTCTTCTGCCTTCAGCACGGCCACCTGCGACGGTGTGGTTTCCAAGACCTCCAGGTGCGTAGGGGCCCCGCAGGCCTCTGAGAGGAAGGCCGAGATGGCTGCGGTCCGGCTGCCAAAGCTGCTGCCAGTGACGGCGAGCACGCGCACCTGAGCTTCAGTAGAACCCACCCTCAAGCCTTAAAGGGAACACGTGCCCACAACAGAGAAGTACAATGACGGATGAAAAAGTCGAGCAGGACAGTTTTCACAGGCTATCTTTTGCGCCAGCCCACCTCGCTCTCCGGAGGGAGCTGATCGCCCAGAAAACCTGCCACGCAGGGCACCGGCTGCGAGATCTCGATCTCGAGGGAGCCATCGCCGAGCTGCGCGGGCCTTGTGGCCACTGCAGTTGCCGCCATTGCCTCCGCTCTGAAAGGCCGCTTGAGACGGCCACCGGCTGCGTCCCAGACAAGTTGATTGAAGGTTTCCTGTCAAGAAAACTCTCCAATCGTCCAGCAAAATGTTCTTGCAGGGGTTACGCTTGCTCACCGGCGGAGGAAAAAACATCAACGGCTCGTGAGCTACGGCCGTGCTTGACCACTAGCACATTCTGCAAAAAGCATGCATTGGTCGATAAATGCCCATGGGTCCCCATTCAACATTTTAGAAACCACTTGCGCATGTTGCGAAACAGCAAAACATGTTATCATAAACCCACACAGGCCTGAAAGATAAAGAGGCTTTACAAAGTGCCCTACGCCTCATGTTGACAGATATGATAGGGATGATGAAGCGCAAGCTGTTTGCCAGTCGCTGCTTGCCACCCAACCCGGCCAAGCCAGGGCGGTGACAACTGTACTCAACGATCTTCTTTGGCAACTTTACACACTCGCTATCAGCCCGAAAGCCCACTTCAGCGCAGCTGCACACGAAGCTGTTCCGTTTGGCGGATTGGGCTGCGGCGTGCCAAGGCGGAATCGAAGTCGCCACCAAGCCCGCAAGGGCACAGTGGCCCAGTGGCAGAACGTGTGCACCGCAGAGTCCGCAATCTTCACATGCGAGAACTCCGTTGGCTTGGCGTAGGTGCTGCAAAGAACGCCGTCCACACTCAGAAGTCCACTGGGCGTTGCGGGGCCAAAAACGCCCACGTGCTCTACGCCAGTCTTAACGCATGACACTGCAGCCAGCTTCCCATCCGCTGTCCTCAGGACTGCACCTGGCAGCACACGCGCTGCCTGAATGAACCCAGACTCGAGAGCTACGAGGTGGTTCGGGGTCAAGCACACGGCACCACCTATACCACCTGCATGGTGAATTTCCACAAAGTCCTGGCGCCGTGACAGGGGGAAGTAGTCGAACCAGCCGATGATCGGCTCCCAAGAGGCTGCATTGATGCGCACAACATCTCCGACACGAAGCTCGTCGATTCGTCGCGCCCCCTGCTGCGTCTGCACCAAAGAGCTGCCAGCAAAGCAGCCCTTGCATTTGTGTTCGTCGATCTGCTTCTTCTTTTGCTGGAGCTCGCTTTTGAGGTTCGAGTTGCACTCTTTCAAATTGTCGATCTGCTCTTGCAAGGCTTTCTTCATGTCGTTGAGAGCACCTGAGGCTGAAAAACTTCAACTGCAACACAGCTCCACGTGAATCACACGTCAGGGATCCCAGCAATCTTGATTAGACCGCTTCTAAACAGCGAAAGCTCTGGACGGGCCTTGGTGTTGCTTGTGAAGGTCTTCTCTCTGCTTTTCCAGTTGGTCTAAATAGTCTTTCTCGCTCTTGGCGAGCTCGTCTTGATGGTCCTTGGGGAAGGCCACGTTTGAGGGGAAGCCCTGGTGAGAAATGTTTGATGGCGCTGGGATGCCCCGTACACGTGCACGTGCATGTGTTTTCTGAAAGCTTTGCACAGCAAAACGCTTGCAGTTCGAATACGACATGCAATGAGCAAGCCCCCCCCCCCCTGGACTGGGAAAGGTCGGGCTCAGTCAGGGGTCCTACCAGGCTTCCCGTTTCCTAGAAGTCCCCAAAGAGCTGCCAAACCCTGCTGTCCCCGAGTCTTGCAAGGGATTGTCCGTGATTGGGCACACGTGCCTGCGAAATCTTCTTGAGTTCATCTTGGTGCTGATTGAATTGCTCCAGCATCGTCTGTTGAACCGATTCCATGTTGGAGCTGTGCTCGCTCTTCATCTGCTCAAGCTTATCCTGGGGTGAATCAGCACGGTACAAGAAACACGAGCTGGGTTACCAAATACCGCAAACAACACTCAAACGCACACCCGCAGCTCCTTGAACTCTTGATCCGCTCGCCGGCGATCCTCTTCCATTTGCTGCATGCGGGCTGCATTCTCGCGCCGGCTCTTGTTGAAGCTCGCTTGCGCAGCAATTTGGCGCTCGAGGTCCTCCCCCATGTTTGGCAAAAACGATCACATTTCTTGATGGCAATCTTGATACCGACCGGCATGATGTGAAACCATCACCCCGTTTCTAACCTTCTCCGGTTGATGTTCCAAAAACTGCCCCCAACCGCCGGCTCAAACCGGTTGAACACCCTCTTGCTTCAACAACATGATGGCGGCTGAGCTCTGAAAGCAAGCATGGCGTCGAATCTTGCCCGGATTCATACCTTTGGCAAATTCTAGAGCATTGGTCTCGGTTTGTTGGAAAGCCGCAATAGAGGTACTAGTGCCCCCGCCATCTTGGAGTGGTTGCCATCAAGCAGCAAGAACACTGCTCTCCCCTGCCCCCCCAACCCAAATAGCAATGCCAGAGATCTCCCTTGATCCCTGACTTGTCCCCGAGACAAACAATGAACGGCCTCCAACCTTCCCGGGCGCCCTCACCTCATCTTGACCGTACTGATGCATCCATCTCCCCGCAAGGAAGAGAAAACGTAGTAAGGAAGAACCCCGAGCAAAAGGTTAGTCAGTCATGTGCCCCAAGGGTCAAACATGGATTTTGAACTGGTCTTGGTGTAATGATTTTTACGTCCACCCTTAGCTTGGAGGTAACTTGTGCCCAGCCGCTATCTCGTTGTTAATCCTGGTTTGTGTTGGGGTCCGTGAAGGAATGAGCATATTATTTCTAGTTAGCTCGCAGGGTTGTTTGGATTTGTTTTGGCTGCTCTGGCTTTGGCGCCGCGGGAAGGCGCGGAGGCTGCACGGCAGAGGTCGGGCTGATGCACATGCACGGCCCCGGCGTACAAGGCGTAGTTCAGGAACGATACTTCAAGCGAAGCAGCAAGTAAAAGATGCTTCCCGAGCACCGCAGTTTACTGAGCACCACATTGGCAGCCTCGCTCGGGAGCAGCTTCCATGAATCCTCGTCCCCTTGGCGCCGCCTTCAACTCTACTCGTCGTTGCACGTCTCTATTTTCATGAACAGTCTCTCTTTTGTCCATGAATTGCAAATTATGGTATCGGGCCGCCTATCGTCTAGTTATGTTCACGTGTCCCAAAAACACATCAAGCAGAAGTGCCTTTTCTCTTGCACTGTAGGAAAGCAAACACGTTTGCTCTTCTCCTGCCCGGAAATTACCAATATTCTGACATGTTTAGAAATTCTCTTGCCCCGGATGTATCTAAAATAGACTTATGCCAAAGGAAGCACCTCCTGGGGCAGCAAACTCTCTGGCGGATCTTTGCCCTCCCCCCCCCCGTCCTCCCTAAAGCCGGCCACGAAATGCTCCACGGTGGTTCGGGGCCCATGGCTGCATTGGAGCCTGGCGACGGCCTCCTCTGACCAGCGCCGCAGCCTTTCCTCGTCGCCATCGGGCCACTGGATCTCCGACCTGGCAGAGGGCCGCTTTAAAAGCATCATGTTCCTTGGGTCAATCCCATGCCATGAATACGGCCCACGTTGGCAATCCAAGTTCCCTGTTTGAGAGTTGATAATGTCGGTTCCATCGTGCCCAAAAACACAAACCAAATGTGTTCTCGCCCATGTGAAAAACGACACTCCTTGCTCCAGCATCCGTCCCACAAGTGCTCCCCCAAGTTCAGGGAAAGGCGATGCAGTGATGTTCCCGACCAAAACCCAACGTCAACATACATCGAGACATGCCGACACCCTGTCAAACCCCTAAACCCTAAACCCCAAACCCTAAACCCCAAACCCTAAACCCCAAACCCTAAATCCCAAACCCGAAACCCTAAACCCTAAACCCTTGCCTCGGCGGCATCTCGCCCAGCATCTTCATGGCAAGCTGCTGCAGCTGCTCTTGGGTCCGGCGCTCATTCTCGCCGTGGAGGATGTTCACCTGGATCACGGGTTTAGGGTTTAGGGTTTGGGGTTTAGGGTTTAGGGTTTAGGGTTTATGGTTTAGGGTTTAGGGTCTAGGGTCTAGGGTCTAGGGTCTAGGGTCCAGGGTCCAGGGTCTAGGGTTAGTGCTTGGGGGCTTCTGAAAATAGGGGTACCTTTGGGGTTCCCATGATAAGGATTGTTTAAAAGTGCCCTCCCATAATATGGATTATACTATTTTGGGGGTATATTGAGGGTACCCCTATTTGGGGAAAGAGCCATGTGCGTGCGTGCGTGCGTGCGTGCGTGCGTGCGTGCGTGCGTGCGTGCGTGCGTGCGTGCGTGCGTGTGTGTGTGTGTGTGTGTGTGTGTGTGTGTGTGTGTGTGTGTGTGCGTGTCCAAAAAAGGGAGACTCCACCACATGGCCGGTCTATCGGTCTATCCACCGGAAACCAAGAACTTCTGAGGCAAGGCAGCTAGCTGCAATCAAGTCCTGCACCATGGAGAAGAAGGGTGGAAAAGAGCAGATATTCAGAGAGAAGATCAAACGAAAAGCGAGAAAAAGATGTGCGATTGACAAAACAAGATAAGTTTGATGTAAAAAAATTGGTGAAGAAAGTTCGGTTACGCCTGCTGAGGGCACTCTTGGAACATTCTCGGAACTGTGTCGGAACAGTCTGGGAACGGTCCCGGGTGGGGGCTCAGTGTGACGCTGACGCACAGCTTCACGCAAGTGCAGATGTTGCAGCAGGGGCAACTTTTGTTGAGTTGCTGAGGTGATAATGATCTCAGGAGCGAAGCAGCCAAGCAGTGAGATTGATGCTAATAGCGTGTGGGGTGTTGGTGTGGGGGGGGCCTAGTTGAACATGCCTGCAGCCATGAGCTTGTTTTGGGTGCTTGGAACCGCGTTGGTCTGAACTTTTGAACCTCAAATGCCACCAAAATGCTCCACCTTGTTAGACCTCGGACAACAGGTCTCTCCAGCACTTCGTGCTCGCAGAAGTTTGTTGCTTCTGAGGCCCAGGTGGGCCAGAGATGTTGACAGTTTGAAGTTTGATCTCGTGCTTGCCTGCCTGATTGAAATTCAAGTTTTGAGGTTTGTAAGTCTACTGCTTGTCAGGCGCATGGCTCAGCCAAGGCTTTTTCGCCAAGGTTATGGACCGAAACAGAGCAAGATAGCTATTATCACAAGAAAGCCATCATACGATATGTCAGAAAATGTTAATGGTAACACAGCCGGCTTCTGTTTGGAATGTTGGTGTGTCTCAGCAGTTCTGGTTGTTTGGGGCGGCTTCTTGTTTTGGTCAATGTCTTTTCGTGCGTCACAACTGTTTGGGGGTGCCACTTGGGCTATTTTGGCGTTGCTTTGCCCCATTTGCAGTTGCGGCTTTCTCAAATCAGCCCGACGAATTTTGAATTGCGGGCTGCTTTGATTTGTGGGATCCAAGGCACCTCTGTGGCCGGGAGGCCTTCGGGGGACTTTCGAGGCCGTTGCACTGTTTTTGGGTTGTTTTGGCAGCTTTCTCTAAAGGCCGGCTTCTTTCAAACTCGTCTGTTTTGACTGCTGATGCTTCGGGGGTGATTTCTTGGGCCAGCTGAGTTTGGGGCAGTTGTGGTGGTTTGGGATGACTCCTCCGGCAATGTGGGGCGGAGGTTGTTTTAGCCGTTTTTTTCGCGGCTTTGGCATGGGGACTTGGACGTAACTATGGTTGCTTTGGTCCGCTCGTTCTTAAAACCGCCGAGTTTTTGAAACTGTGTTCGTTGTTCTGTTTGTCACAGCGCAACTGTGGCTGTTTGGGATGACCTCTTGGGCAATTTAGAGCCGTGTTGGGAGTTTTCGGTACAACTGCCCCCAAAACAGCCACACTGCCTCTTCGGGCATGCGTCAGGACGATCAATGGCAGCAGATGAGACGAAAAACGCGGAGAATAGAAATTATGATGAAAAGAAAGTGATGGGGAAAGCGAAGATGAAAACAGCGATGAAGATAGAAGATGAGATAAGAGAGAAAGGCGACAAAGGAGAAGATTACCGAGCAGATGAGAATCCAAGATGGGATCAGATGAGACAAGCGAACACGTGATGTGATGGTTGAGCTGATAGGCGAAAAGATGAAAATACAAGGAGGCGAGACCACATCAGATGAAGAAAGCAAAGACCGGAGACAGAAATATGAGAGAAGGGAAGATGAAAGAAGAGGAGGCAGGAGGAAGGAAGAACATGATCGGATCAGATGAGATGACATGATACAAAACGAAAAGAATAAAATGTGACAGCAAAAGATAAAGCGAGACAAAGAAGTTCGGAAACTATGAAGAAGCAATGGTTTGACTCGGCAGATGCCTCGGCGTGCAAAATAGGGGACAGCATTAATTCCTTCTGTCCAGTTCTGGGGCTGCAATTTGCCAATTTGCATTTAAAAACAAAAAAAAGCTGGTCTTTGTTCGCCTTCAAAAGTTTCCATTCGTAGTTCGCAATTGTATATCCAGGATTTGCTCAGACACGTTCCCAGAAGAATTTTCTGGCTTTGGCACAAGAAAAGATGAGGTAAGAGTTGATGGAGGAGAAGATGTGAGAATAAAATGAGAGAAGAGAAAGGAGAAAACAAGTGATTAGGAGGACAAGGTGAAAGAAGGGAGATGAAGCTTCGCGTGTGTTGGCTGCGCCTTTCCCTATCAGCAGATGCTCAAGTGTTTTCGACACGTCTTACCAACTCCACCGGGTATGGTCACGGTCATGACGCCCTTGGTGGAACAGCTTTGATGGTAGTCATTACAGTAGCCGATCTCAATGATTCATGACCAGTCCATGGAAAAGTGGGCGAAAATCGCCCCTGTGCTTCAGCAGGAACTTTCGGTTGATCCCCTAGCTAGTCCTCCCCCAATGGGTTGCTTAAACTGGAGAACCACCGAAATGGTGACTTTCCCTCAAACTCTCACGAACGCACTTCCGAGAATTTCGCCGGTGGCCTGCAGCTGTGAGCGTTGCTGAGCATCCTGCAGAACCTCCTTGCGCTTGTCATCTCCGCACTGAGCCCAGACCCGGGACGCCTGAGTTGAAGGAACACGGGTTTCTCTTTGGATACCCTTCTTCCAACAAACCATAGAAGGGAAGACTGCGTTTCAGGAAGCCCTATGCACTTCCATGATGCTTGTGGTGTTGGAAAAAAGGGAATCACGAAGCACCCCTTGGCTCCCGTCACTTATCAGCACAAAAAAACAAGCAAAACAGGAGGGGAACCTGTAGCTGGGTGGTGGCGCGCTGGGAGATGCTCGCCATCTGCTCCCTGAACGCGGCGTCGTCCAGGGGGAAGCATGACTCGAGGCCCCGGGAAGCTTCCTAGAAGCACCAGGGTTCCACTATTGGAGGCTCCATAGGGTTTAGGGCGTTTAGGGGTTTAGGGCTTAGGGTTCCTCTGCTTCTCTTGTCTTGAACCATGACCCTCGAACGAAAGGAACCCCGCCTCGAAGAAATCCACAAAGAGGGACACCGCATCGGCAGCTGCACAGCTCTGTGCCATTGACATCAGGGCCACAGGGGCCAGCTCGCTCGTGTTCAAGCAGGACACCACATCATGCAGCCGTGCTGCATACTGGGCTCCATTCCAAGACCTCTGCGGATGGACGGCTTTCCGCGCAAGCCTCTGCAACTTCTCAAGATACTGATGAAAGTTGTCCTGGAAAGGCTTGGCGAGTTTCCGCCACGGCTTCAATGAGATGTCCTCGCCCGGGCTAAAAGTGCCCGGCGATGCAAACCACGACACCTCACGCTCGCCGAAGAGCGCCTGGAGCACTCTCTGTGCGGTCATACCCTCCCCTTCTGCTTGGAGACACTGGCGGTAGTAGTCCAGCGCCTCCCCGTCCTGGTTCAGGGCGAAGTCACGCAGCGCGAAAATCAGGTCTGGCTTGGGCTCCCGGCTGACTTCCAAGCTGCTGACCACCTGCTGCCATGTTGCCACACGGTCAATCATGCTGGCATCAAGTTTCTCCTTTGTATTGAAAACGAAGAGCTGGCATGTCAGCACAGCCACGGCAAAAAGCTTCGTGTCATACAATCCTGCTTTGTCGCCATGGGCTTTGTTCTCACCGAAACCCTCGCAATCAGCCAGTAGCCACAGAGCACCTGGCGGTGCCTGTGGATCCAAGAGAGATAGCGGCAGGGCATACACGTGAATGCCCCGTGTGCATGATCTGACGCTGCCGCTTGTCCCAAACAAGGCTGGCTGCAAGGGTCTTCCAGCTGCCAACATGTGGCGAGCAACCAAGTTGTTCAGCGTGCTCTTTCCTTCACGCATCGGGCCAACCAACACCTGCGGCACAACCAAGCGCTTGCCAAGCTGGGAGGTCAGAACGTGGGCCCCGTGCTCGTCTACCTTGAATTGGTTGCCGTCTGGCACAATGAGTGGAAGGGCCCTTGGAACAGGCCCTGGCAGCTTGACATCAGCCCGAACATCGGCGGTCAGATGGGGATCAAATTTCAACCCGTTTCGCTTGAACTGGGAGGCTACATCCTGCGCTGACTGCCCTTCTATCATGGCTGCAACAACCTGTGCGACATCTGCATGAGCAGGCTCACACAACCACTGTGTGCTGAGGTAGACCAGGGAGACGGCACTCTCTGCAGCTTTGCCGGCAACCACAAAGTGCATCTCCTTGCACTCTCGGTGCGCAGAGAGAATGTGCTCCCCGCCATAAAGGTAGCGTTGCCTGGATGGGCGACACATGCACTGCCGGAGCTCCGACAAAACTGCCTCAAGCTCCTGAGGGTGCGGACAAAGAGCCGAATCGGTCCAGGAATTTTGCGCGCCACTACTTAAATGAATCAGATGAGCTTGGATCGTTTCCGGCCTTTCGGCCTGTGGAGGGGGCGGCGGTGGCGGCGCACCTAACATTGCAGACGAGCTCGGACAAGCCTCTGGAAGAAGAGCTTCGGGCCAAGATAGCTGAAAAGTTTCTGCTTGTCAGAGTCAGTGCAACTGGGCAAGCACCCTGCAACCACAACTCAAGAGATGCTAAGAGCATGGGTGCGCGAATTCCTGACGTAAGCCGCCATTTTCATTCAGGAGGGGGTTGCTCGAAGTTCTGGGTTTTGGGGGGGATCTTTCTTTTCCAGATACTGATAAGGTTCCACACCCCTCTTTCTCCTAATGTTGGTGAGAGTTCGAAATCATGATGCGCCATTCAGTTCTTCCAATGGACCCAAGGCTTCACTCCGCGTCCTTCGCCATACGTAAACCCTACAACCCTTGAACCCCGAGAGGAGAGCCTTGACACTTCGGATGGGCACTTGCTGGCACCGCGGCTGACGAAATCTCTTGCGATTTTAGGTGACATCTCTCAGGGTTTAGCCAAAACCGCTTAGGGCCTTCGGGGTTCGAAGTTCAAGGTTGACGGTTCATCGGGATGTTATGCAGTAGGGTTCAGGCATTTCGGAGGCAGACTCGGACTTTGGCGAACTGATGGCAGAAGCATGGTGGAGTCTGCAACTTCGGAGCTTTTGTTACGTTCTCTACGCGTTCAGGGCGCACTACCCCAGGTGAAATGAGCAACGAAGCGGAGCTGGCAGCGGTTCTGTTTTGCTCCTCCGAACGCCTGCAGTGGCCTCCTAAACTACCCTTAACCCTAAACCTTTACCCCTAAACCCTAAACCCTAAACCCTTAACCGTACCGCCACTGCCACGGGTCTTGCAGCGGCTTCCCGGACCGGCGTTGGTACACGCTCTTGGTGAAGCTGATCAGCTTGCCCGACACGTCATTGGTGCCTTCGAGGGCTTGGGGGGCTCCTTCGGGCTTTTGAGCCTTTAAGGAGTACGAGTTGTCAGCGAAATGGGATAGTCGAAAGGGTCCTTGCTTGACATGAAAATGTTTGTTTCTCACAGAAACGAAGCTGCGAAAACTCACTGCCAGCTCCTGCGGAAGCATGGCTACTGCCAAAACCCTTGGCCTGAAGCAGTCCTCTCCCCGACTACAAAAGTGTGGGTTTGAGCGTCCGAGCCTCTGCCATAAAGGGATACTCCGCAAGAATATTTTGGGATTTTTCTGGTGGTGGGCACCAGTCCCCAGCGGAGAATAGCTGCGCCCAGGGCGAGGAATGATTCCAAGGAGACGACAGGTATTTCTTCAGGGTTTAGGGTTTAAGGCTTGGGGCCTAGGATTGAGGGTTTAAGGCCTGAGCTTCAAACCCTACGACGCCTGCATTTGGAGCGAAGGTCGTGACGACTTCCTCGAGGACTTGTGGGAGATCCAGCTTCTGCAACCACGCCACCGCATCACCGTTGAGATTCCACCTGCGAGACCGCTGACAAGCGCCAGATTTCTGAACAAAAGACCGGCCAAGTCGTCCTTTCTAGCAAGTAAAGCCAAAGAAAATTGAACCCAGGGATCGACTGGGGTTTGGGTTTTGTGGACATGAGGAGACAACTCGATGGGATGGGGGGGGTTCCGCCGGCCTCTGCGCAAACTCGTGAATCGCATCTTGCATGATCGCCTCGACCGGACCCGATGCCCGAAACCTCAAAAGCTCTAAGCCTAACCCCCCTAAGCTCCCCCAAGCTTGCACAACCCCCGAAAGCTTCCAAAAACTTAGCCTGAACTGCCACCAAAGGATGCAAACCCTACAACCACACCAAGAGGGACCATTCGAGCTACTTCCCTGGAGCCTCCTGAGAGAATTGGCCCCCCAGCCGCATGCCAGTCTGCTTTAAATGGCAGGAGCGCGCAAAGCTGATGAACCTTGGAGTTCAAACTGGCGGGGTTAAGGGTGTCAGTGTTTGGGGTTTTGGGTTTAGGGTTTCAGGGTTGGGGTCCAGCGTTTAGGGTTTGGGGTTTCAGAGTTGGGGTTAAGGGTTCCAGGGTTCCAGGGGTCAGGTGTAGACCGGGTTTGGGGTATAGGGTTTCAGGGTTGTAGGGCTTTGGGGTCTGGGGCGTGCCCAACGCAATGCTGAACAAGAACAAGGCGCAGGGCCGAGACGTCCTTTGTGTCCGGCTTGGGCGTGAAATTGTGCTTGACGTTCTCGAGGACGTGCGGAGGAAGCTCGTGGAGGGTCCGGACAGCGTCCCGGTTGAACCCGAACCGGCGCGCATAGGTGGCGAGGTCTTCGTGGCCTGCGCAGCTGCAAAGGCCCTTGAACCAACCTTCAAAACCCGGCACTCAGCACACCTGTGGCGGGCTATGCCGGGCTTCAGGATCTGGGTTGTTTCGCTGCGCGGGCTTAGCCAACAATCAGCCCTGAATGAGGCGAGGGCCCAGAACCTCTCCAGCCCAGAACCTCTCCAGATCGTAGCCTGGGACCCAAGACCCCGAGACGCATCAAGCCTCAGCCCCCAATATAGGGGCCTTAACAACTAGATCAGGGTTTTGGAGGGTTACTGTTGTATATTTATTAGGGGACCATCAAGGAAAAAATACTAGCAATTCTTCCGACCCCTATTAGTACCCAAAAACCCCACCATCCCAAATCCCGGGAACCTCGCGGAGTCCAGGCGCCAGGAGCTGGAGCAGCTCCCTTGCCTCGCTGGGGAGGCTCCACCTTCGCCCTGACTTGGGGTTTAGGGTTGAGGGTTGAGGGTTTAGGGTTTAGGGGTTAGGGGTTAGGGTTTAGGGTTTGTGGGATTAGGGTTTAGGGTTTAGGGTTTAGGGTTTTAGGGTTTTAGGGTTTGGGGTGTAGGGTATGGGGTATAGGGTTTAGGTTTTAGGGTTTAGGGTTGAGGGTTTGGGGTTCAGGGTTTAGGGTGTGTAAGGATGGGGGAGGGGGGGGGGCTTCTGGGGCCTCGCTTGCATGAGAGCATTTTGGGAATCAGATAAGGGGTACACACTATTTTGTGAAATCACGGGTTCTGCGTCAAACCCCCCACAAAACGAGCTCTCCATCTCGGGTAATCTTTTTGTTTTCCCGGCTTGCACCCACCCACCAATTTCTCCTAATTGGCTTAACCGGTTTTGGGCTTGTTTGCTTGCCTGCTGCTCATTTAGTCCACTTCGGGAGCCTGATGAAGTCGGGGTTTAACGGTTTAGGGTTTAGGATTTAGGGCTTAGGGTTTAGGGTTTAGGGTTTACTCGGCGCTGTCTCCGAGTCTGAGCAACTGAGCGCGGTTTAGAGTTCCGTCATGAAAGGTGTTACTGTCCCATACTTTAGCCCCCTTTTTCCCCTAGGCTTCATGAAGGCTTTGAGTCGCAGCAGTCGCCCAGACGTGAACGCCCTGAACCTGTGCCCTGAACCCAAAAACCCTAAACCCTAAACCCTAAACCCTGAACCGAAAAACCCTAAACCCTAAACCCTAAACCCTAAACCCCAAACCCCAAACCCCAAACCCAACGGAACCTCTTTGGTGGTGGCGCACTCGGCTCAGCAGGGGTCTCCGGAATGTCGTTTTCGGGTTCCTGCTCCAGTTCCATATGGAGGGCGGGGGGCTTAAAGCTTGCGGTCTCGGAACGACTATGATTGAAGCATCTCGCTTATTCAACACCTCACCGAAGCACACTCACTGTACACACCCAGAGGGAAAGACAGACTGCCATGGGGTCCATGGTCTGCTACTGTCATACAATAAAGCCTCAACCCAACATGCGAACTCCTGGAACTTGATCCCTCTGTGTGTCCTCCGGCTCACCCTCACCATCGGCACCATCGACGCCGAAGACTAAGACCTGGAGATCACCCACAGCAGGTCTGAGCTCCACGCATGTACCGCACACCCCCTGAACCCTGAACCCTGAACCCGAAACCCTAAACCCTGAACCCTGCACCATGTACCCTGAAACCCTAAACCCTAAATTCTAATCCCTAGCCCTAAACCCTGAACCCTAAACCCTGAACCCTAAACCAAAAGCCTGAGAACGACAGGCCTCGAGGTTCTCCAGGCGCCGGGCAAGGCCAGCTGCCACTTCACCTTGGGCCCCCTCCAGGATCTCCTGGTTTTAGGGTTTAGGGTTTAGGGTTTAGGGTTGAGGGTTTAGGGTTTAGGGTTTGGGGTTTAGGGCTTAGGGTAGTTTAGGGCTTTGGGGCCGAGGGCGTTGGGATCCTTTCGTCGCTTGCCATTCAAGGATGTCTTTTAGTTGAAAATGCCAAGAACCTGAGTCAGGTCAACCCCCATGCTTGTTGGCAAATCAATGCAAATCACATACCTGCATGAAAAAAGGAGAAAAAGCAATTGCAAAAGGCCAATGGGATATCAACAACTTTCATGCTCATACATCTTTTTTAAGTCTTTGGGGAGCTCCCTTCGCTCACCCCCGCCCCCCACAAGACTCCTCAAGACGCCCAACGCGTGCGAGGACGCCGCCGGCCCCGGTGCTGCCCGCGGGCAGCAGCTCTGCCTCGGGAGAGTTGAAGGTGTTTGAGGGTTAAAGGTGTTTGAGGGTTTAGGGGTTGAGGGGTTTAGGGTTTAGGGGTATGGTGGATGGTGTGTGTGTGTGTGCCTGTGTGATTAAGGTGTTCAGGTGTTCGGACAAGTGGTGAAGGGGTCAAGGTTTGAGGTCTGGCTCTCCGTGCTGAGTGCTTTGTGAAGAAAAGGATGATTCTGGTGAGCCGCGATGTGCAGATCCTCAACTGCTCGACCCTAAAATCCTGAACCCCAATACCCCGAACTGATCCCTAGGCCCTACACCCTAAACCCCTAAACCCCTAACCCCCCCCCTACACCCCATACCCCAAACCCTAACCCCTAAACCCCCCCCTAACACCCCGACATCGGCTCCCTCCTCCGAGCCCAAACCTATGGGACTCAACCGAGCACCTCCAAGTTGGCGAGCCGCTGCCCGATCCGGGACTCCATGGCTAGTGGGGGAAAGGCTTAGGGCTTTTGGGGCTTTTGGGGTTTCAGGTCGTTATGATTATTTGGTTTTCTTTTTTTTTTGCGGGGAGGGGGTTAGGAGATTTTAGGGCCGTGGTTTAGGGCTTTGAGGGTTTTGGGTTCGTCATGGTTCGAGGCGTGTAGAGTGGGACGAGTCCTTTTGAGTACTGCGACGCGAGCGGTGCCGTCCCGTAATCTCTGAAACTCTGAAATTTTAGCCCTAAACCCTAAGCCCCCTAAAACCCTACACCTCCAGCACCCCCGCATGTCGTCATCGACTGCAACAGGCCACGGAGTTGAAGGTCAGGATTGCGTTTTTCTGCCCGAAGGTGTCTGTCCATGCAGAAGGGACAGGAACCCCAGAACCCCAGAACCCCGGAGCCCAAACCAAGAAAGGAAGAACATCCCAAGACTGAGGTTCTCTGAGGGAGTCTCGGCGCCGGATTCTTTGGGGGCGGGCACTTCATAGACACCTCGTGAGATTTTTCTAGGGGGTAACTTGGGGCAGACCGAGGGAAATCTACAACCCTAGCTGAAGAAAGGAAATAAACGCTCCAATCCTCATGGATGGGGTCTTGTGCTCAGCTCCAACAGCTGAAATCGTTCCTTTTCGCTGCGACTGAAGTAGCAGCCGGGTTGGTACACGGCAAGGCGACTTTCATCTTCGAGAAAGGCTCCCCCTCGTTCTGGGATGCAACGGCCTGATGACAAAATCACAGCTACAAGCGCCACAAGCTTGCTGTCCTAAGTCCTATCATGCGTTCAGGATGTTTGAGCTGCGGGGATGACTTCCCAACGCTCGTCGAAGAACCTTCTGGTTGACAGGTCGAAACTCTGGAAGATCGATCGATCGGATGCAATGTATTACGAACACGCCCACGGAACTCCTCCTGTGGGGTCAGATGAGGTTGCTGGCTGCCATGTCGATCCAGACAGTACTGAAGAACTCCACTTCTAGGGTCAAACTTAAGCCAACATTGGGGATGCATGATGCATGAGGAGGACTTTTGGCTCCAATCGTACTGCGGCCAATATCGGTCGCAGAGCGAAAATGATGCTCGCGAGTCACGAGAATGGGCTGCTTCTGCCAGAAGAAAGAACCAGCCTCGTGAAAGTGACTGCCCCAAACCATAGCTCAGAAACCCCCCTCTCTTGACTTGCGACGAAAGCGAGCTACAAGCGTTAAATCCTGCCCAGGAGCCCTAAACCCTAAGCCCTAAGCCGAGCATGTGGCGAATTGTTAGAAAGGCTTCCAGGAGCCCAGGGAATGGGCTCGGCTCCGCCTGGGTTCAGGGTTCCCGGGTCTCAGTTTCGACGATGCACCCCTGCCTGGCCATTTTGCCCATGTGTGAAACTGTCCAACGTCCGCCATCTCCCCAGTTGGAGTGTGAAGACACCCATGCTCAAAATACCCTATATCCCTGCAGAAGCTTCAAGCCCTGCGATGCTTCCTGCAAATTTATCCCTTCCAGGTCCTGGCCCTAGCCTCAATCTCTCACACACACGCACACACCCAAAAAAGGACCCCTGAATACCCCGAAACCCTAAACCATCATCGCCCGAAGTCAATCGTCTGGGCTGCATGGCAGTACCCGGAGCTGCTGGGGGCCCGCTCGGAACCGCGAGAAGATCCGCCAGCCGCCTGAAGGCCCAACACCCTCAAGCCGCCCGAGGCGCGTTGGGTGACAGGTACCCCATCAGGGTTTCAGGGTTGAGGGTTTAGGGTTTCAGGGTCTAGCCCTCTAAAGCCCCTTGTCGAAGACCTCCAAGCAGTTTTGGATTGTGTAAAGTGAAATTTTTGGAGAACCCAAACCCCTAGGCCATAACACAAACACACAATTAGCACATAACTTGCATCCAAGTGCTAAACCCCCAGAACTCCTGACCCTGCCCTCAAGGCAGTGGACAAAAAAACTGCACCCTAAACCCTAAACATCCCTAAACCCTAAAACCCAAACCCTAAACCCCAAACCCGGCCGCCTTGCTCCGGCAGGGTCTTCGCGCGCTCCATTACCTGCACATCCTCGTAGAGCCACAAGTCGCTCATGAGGCGCTCCTGCCTTGATTAGGGTTTCAGGCTTAGGGTTTGGGATGGTTTGGGGTTTAGAGCTTGGAGGTTTCGGGCTTTGGGGCTTAGGGGTTTGGGGCTTAGGGCTTAGGGCTTGGGGCTTGGGGCTTGGGGTTTGGGGTTTGGGTTTAGGGTTTGGGGCTTAGGGGGGTTTTCAGTAGGGTTTTGAGGGTGTTGAGGGCCTCCTCTTTTGTCAGGATGTCTCGGGTCAACTGGTTTGAGGAACCAGGGTCTGGATTTTGGACTTCGTGGGCTTCCGGCTTTCCGGGTCTTCTTGCGCATCGGCGGCCGCAGGCGCTCCACGTAGAGCTTGGCGTAGAGATGCGCGCGGTTGCGGAGATCCAAAGAGCTGAAGATGCTGTTGGAGAACTCCTGTAGGGGTTTAGGGTTTAGGGTTTAGGGTTTAGGGTTTAGGGTTTAGGGTTAAGGGTTCGAGAACTCCTGCACATCCAGGCACACTAGTCGCGAGAATCCGATGGAAAGGAGTTCTCCCACATGCAGCCACTGAGTCCACAGCGCCATCTCGCTGATCCAGCTCCGAGAACGCAACTTTTGCTCCCCCGCTTGGCCGTGAACGTACCGCAGGGACCCGTCTAGGAGGAGGTACGACGTGTGCGCCTCTTGGTTCGTGGAAAAAAGCGCATCCAAGTCACCGGTGTCGATGACGCGGACTGCATCGCTGGCCAACTTCTGGAACGCAGCCTCCCGGTGCGCAGCAACACTGCGGTCCACTTCAGCCAAGAAGGAGACCCTGAGGATGCTGGCGCGGTAGAGGCGAAAGCTCAACTCCCCTTGCAAAGGCTTTGACAGAAGCTGGAGGATGTGCGGGTGCTCCGCAAGTTGGATGGCACGGGTGTGGTAGGCATACCTTGGCTCTTCGCAAGAAACATCAAGTCACAGATTGCTTCTCCGACCCCAAGTTGTTTTAAAGTGTTTTGCACAAGGGGTCCTACCTTGAAATAGAGCCTGCGCACTAGACTTTAATCCCCACACGCTTCCGGCAGCTGAGCCACTGGAGGAAGTCCGTGACACGCTCCGCAAGGCTCCCTGAGATGTCATTGTCTCGCAAGTACTTCCGGAGTAGCCAGAACTGATCAGTTTCCTCCACCTGGACAAAGCCCTAAACCCTAAATCAAAACAGGGTTCAAGGTTTAGGGTCTAGGGTTTGGGGTTCAGGGTTTAGGGTTCAAAACATTCTAAACAGCACGTAGCCCGAAAAGGGTTAGGATACTTGAGCCAGTTTAAGTTGCCCACTTTGCAAGGATCCGTTCTGCATACGTAGCTGCCTTTCTTTTGCACTGACTCATGCATAAGACGTCAGCTCGCAAAACCAAGACAAGCTGATGTTGCAACATGTCCGTGCAAGACCTTGAAGTACAGGGGAGCAGCCTTACAAAACGAAAGAAGCCCAAGATCATGACTGGGGAGGGTTTAGGGTTTAGGGTTTAGGGTTTAGGGTTTGGGGTTTAGGGTTTTGGGTTTCGGGTTCATCGTATGAGGAGCCTCTACCATCTTTCCCGAGTTTGCTATCAATTGGCTGCTGGGGAGCATCTTATCTTCCTTCGCGTCAAGGTAGAGGCAAACTAAAACTGCCCAACCCCCGTAAACCCTGCACCTGGAACCCTACCCCCTCGTGCTTCCTTTGCTGTTCTTCTTCTACAACGATGACTTACGGCTATGACTATGACGTTGATTCTAAGTCTTTCGATTGTTGTATGGACCAGATCGCACCTTCGCCTTGTTCAGGCTGGAGATCAGGGAGGTCATGGAGCTGATCACGGTGGAGAAGGAGACCAGGGACACGAATGCCACAATGACAGAGTAGACAGCCTGTGGGCTCAGGCTTCAAGGGGCTCAGGGGTTTTTGTCAAAAGGGTGTAGGGTTGAGAGTTGAAGGTTGGGGGTCAAATCACCCTCTTGAAGCTCCTCTGTGTAGGAGACTGCTTCGATCTCCGTCCCGCCAACCCCCAGCTGTGCAAAACTCCAGCGCAGGGCTGTGGCATATTGAAAGGAGACCTTGGGGGCTCTTGCAAGCAATTGTGAGGGTTTGTAGGGTTCAGGGTTTACTAGCCTTTCGTTCCCTCAACAGCAGGTGGATCTCAACAGAACCCAAGACACATGCTGATGTCGCATACCATGGACGTCAAGCCAGGAGTTGTCCACGTCCAGGGAACCGATGCCGTGCCAGCAGCATGCAATGACATGCTCCAGGAGGATCATGCCTAGGATCACCAGGGACAAGTTGAGCTGTATGCAGGCCACACGTGACTGGAGCTGGTCACGAAGAACGATGGATACGCGAGTGAGCTTGCCCAAGCGGATAATGCGAAGCAACCTCACCAGTCGAAGGAACTTTGCCGCCTTCATTTGCCCTATAACGTCCACGAACGCAAACTCCAGCAGCACATCAGCGACGAGGATGGATAGATCAATGCTGAACCAATTGCGAAGGTAGTGACGCCGAATCGTTGGCAAGTCCATGACAAGGATTCCACGACTGACAAAGCCGGTAAGAAAAGCCAGCATCATGTCAATCAGCCAGAAAAAGATCTCAAGTCGAGATATCCACTCCAATGCTGCTTGAACTTCGGGCTGAAAGTCAAACATTTGGAGTGGGATCGTGATGACATCCCAGGCCAGGCAGATAACGCCAACTAGGTCCCAAGTGTTGCGGAACGTCCCAGACGGACTGAGAGTGCAAGTGCATGGCTGTTGGCCGGCGACTTGCAGGACTGCATCAGACTGCACACTGGCGATGCTTTTCATCCGCACACTTGGCGGCTTTTCTGCCCAGCAGTTTCGAAGCTCCACCTGAAGAATTTGGCTCGCGAAAAGTTCGTTCTCTGAGCTAAGCTGTTCTTGACATGGAGGGGTGCCTGGGCTCTCGACTCTGGCTCCGCTTGCACCATTGCCTTCAAAACAATCAAGTAGAGGATCCGCATCCCGCTGACTCCGTGAGGGCTTGAGGTCCGAAATCGCCGAAAACGCCCGAGGCTGCAAAGGCTCCAAAGGCGGAGGATTGAGAGGCGGAGTTGGCATGCTCAAACTCGTTGGCGGCCGCACAAGTTCTGCCGAAAACCGTGCTTGCAGCTCATCCTCTGTAGCCCTTCCGAAGGAGAGGTGCGGTCGCGCAGCCCTGCATGCGTTCTGGAGGTCGCGCTCGTAAGTTGCAGCTAGCTGCCTGAGGAGATCATGGAAAGACTCGCCAGGTTTTCCACGAGGATACACCGCCCTTGGCATGGCTGGTCAACAAGGCAATACAACACTGCATCTGCAAAAGCAAAAAGGCTGCAGCGCCTTCAAGTGCAAAGCTACAATCAAGCGCCTTTTCCACTCCGCGTGCTGGCAACAATGGTTACATTTTGTTGAGGACACGAGTACTAAAGGACATGTTAGACGAGTGCTCATCATTGCGTACACCTATGCGACCCGCACACACCGAATAACAGCGTTGCAAGCACCCATTTGACGAAGTGCGTGCGGGTGCCCTTGGCCATTAGCTTTGCAGTTTATTCCTCTTGCAAGGCTGCATTCGCCAGGCAACGAGATTGATCTACAAGCAACTAAGAACTTGCCCAAACTGCAAAAATAAATCGCAGGCACAAATTTCGCTTCGAACTAGAATCACATCTGCAAATACAACAACAGATGACATGACTTGTGTGCACCGCGCTCCACCCTTTAGGGGCCTCCAGTGTCGGTTGGCAGCCCACCAAAAACACCAAAGAAATTGAAAGTACCGGAAGCGAGCCACAGGGCTGTGTCTCGTCCACCTCCACGTCCATTTTACCTAAAGGCTCCACCGACAGGGAGTTTGGCAAGAGGTCGAGAACTGCAAAGCGTCGTAGCTCTTCGGTTTCCCATCTGGCTGTGAAGAGGGTGTCATGATCCAGCAACATCAGGACGGCTCCGGGCGCCAGAACCCTAAGAACAGTCATGATTTCAGGCCCCGCCCACGTGAAGTGCACTGCAGCAAGCCCTGCCTCTAAAGTGTTCACAAAGATAGGGAACCACTTTTCCCTATAAGTTCCTTCCCACTGCATCCTTGCAACGAGATGCCGTATGAAATAGGGGAAGTGCGGGATGGACAGAAAGTTGCGACTGTCTGTGACCAAGAGGAGGACGTGGGCACCCGCGTGTTCAGCGTCCCGAAGCTGCGGGAGCAGGCAGCCGAGCAACGCTAGGTAATCGACCGCTGGGTGCCACCCCTGCGGGTCCGGCGGCTCGCCAGTGACCGTACCCACGGCTGCCCGTAGAGGTAGGATTCCCTCCGGGGTGGGTTCAGGGAAGTTCTGATCAGTCTCCAAAGCCAGCGTAATGTTAGAGGCATCTGCCTGCTCTGGCGGGCTGTCCGCGTTCCATGCGTGGAGCTGCCGTGCATCCCAAGCGGTCTCAGCAAGCGCATGTGGGTGGGTTCTCTTGTGCTCCAGCCAGGGCGGGATGTCAGCTTCGGCAGGCGTCGAAGGTGGAGGCGCTGAGAAGGAGAGGGGATCCGCTTCCCTGCTTCCATCACATGATCTATGCCCACCAGTGCGGAGAGGGACGGGGGGAGCAGGAGGGCGGGGGGGGGCACCCGGCATGAAAGTCCTGGGTTGACTTAGCACTGGAGCCTGAAAGGGCGAGGGAGGCAGGGCTGCCTCCCTACCCGCTCCGTGTCCGGCAACTGTGCAAGACCATGGGGGGGGAGTAACCGCGCTGGTAGGCGGTGCACACACAGGTGCAGCTAGCACACGACCCGTAAGGGCACTGCGATGCGGCATGTTGCCTAAGCCTGGCCGCCCTGCATGCAAGAGAAAACAGCGAACTGTGGCTTGCTGCGCAAAGCAGATCGAATTGCTGTCACGCAAAAAGGCCGAGCAGTCTAGCCGCAGGAGGTGCTGCACCTCCCTTGGGAAGCAGTGGTTCCAGCCCGTTGCATCCGCCTCAGTGGGCAGGATAACTCCTGTTTGCATGGGCTTGGTCATCGCTATATCGCTAGTCCCTGCAGTAGCAAGCGCGGTAAGCTGGCCCCGCTTAGCAACAAAGACATGAAGAACATGCGACCCGGCTTGCAGCACATACTGCTGACACGCGTAGGCATCCATGGCTGCGATCACCGCAAACTGCAGAATCCGATGCTACGGTAGGCGAGATGAAAACATACTAACACTTACAACGGTGCAAGTCACAGAAAGCGACAAGGTCACAGTACTGCAAAAATCAACAGGAGAAACCCTTGACAAGTCAGCGAGCAAACCATCCATGCCCCCCGCTTACTTTGAGCCCGCGCGAGGTTCAAGTAAGCCAATAATCCCCAGGTGCTTGCATACCTTAGCGGCCGCCTGTTTGTGGCTGCAATGCAGGTGCAGACAAGCGCAAATCAAGGACATCCAAAAGGGAGAAAGAAAGGGGGCCTCTGCCTTGCCCTTGCAACTACTCCGGGAGCTCAATATAATATGATCAGCCAGCATCCAATCAGGGTCGCTCAGCAGCTGGGGCCACACTACGTGCTCCGGGTCCTTGCCGATGAATACCTGCCGGACCGTAAGGCCGGGAGCCCATGAGTACTGTGTGCGGTTGTAGCCTTTGAACACCGTGAAGCGCGAGTCTTCTGATAGACATTCGACAACTGGGGGTACCCGGGTATTGCCTCGCACCGAGTGGCCATGCCGCAGATTGCGCTGGAAGACTTCTACGTCCTGGCGTCCGCCATATATCAGCACTTGCGTGGCGGCGGTGGTCGGTGCAGGCAAAGGGTAGGGTAGACGGATGGGGCCCATACACACACATGCTCGGAACCCCGGCTGGGTTCCTGAGATTGCAATCTGGTATACGATGGTTCCACCAGAGCCCAAGCCAATGACATACGTCGTCAGGGAGATGTGAGGGCTTACATCACATTTGGCCGCCTGCAAGAGAGCAACGATCTCCATGGTGTAGACTGCTTTCGTCCAGTCCGAGCCGTCAGGCAACATCCAGGCAGGTGGGGAACCAGCCTGGCCCGCTACGGGCCAAGCGCGAGCGAGAATGGCCCGCTTGAAGGCAAGATTGCTCCACAGATGCTCAATGGCTCCTTGCCAAGGTAGCGGGTAATGGTTTTCCACGTAGAAGTGTCCACAGCCTGGAAGGAGTAGTACCACAGCATTGGCTTCGCCACAGTCAGCATTCGGCCGCGACACCACAAAAGGGAGTACCGCGTTGCCACGGCGGACGGTGTGCCATGTGTTGTCCCGTCCAGCGATGAGCGGCGGGGCAACGAGGGTGGGCGGCTGCTGGGTCTCGAGACCGAGGGGTTCACGAGCTGCCATGGCGCAAGGAGCAGCTACCTACCCGGTACACTGGGGGCAAGGGAGAGGAAGACTGGGCAGTCTTGCCTGAGAGCCATCCGCAGAAGACGAAACACATCGCGAGAAAGCTAGGTTTCCTGCACCGCAGCTCTTGCAAGCAATGTGTGGCAAGAAGCGTCACGTACTGACGAGGCAGCCATCTGGTTTTAACCGCCACGAAGTCTAGAGTTCGGAGTCACTACCTTCCTGGGCATTAATGTTGACTTCACATTAGTGGATCCACCCGCAATTGTAAAATCCCGCTGCCGGAACACAATAGTGTAGCCCGCCACAATTGTAAAATCCGACCCGGGAAATCCGGGTTTTACGGGTGATGTTATGTTATTAGCTAAAACTTATAAGCTTCGCCCCTCAACCCTAAACCCCTAATTAGGGCCTGAACCCTCACCCCTCAACCTCCTCCTCCTACTACTACTACTACTACTACTACTACTACTACTACTACTACTACTACTACTAGTGGTACTACTACCTAATACTAAAACTAATACTACGTCCTACCAGTTTTTAGGCGGATACTATTGAGGAGGCCCTGGCCGGAGAGATTGATCAATGAGGGGGGGGGTTTATTAATGCGAAGTCAACATTATCCTCAAGCAGATGCGTCATCTCGTCATCAAGGTGCTCAAGAATATCGGTAGCAATGCGTTCATCAAGAAAGCAGGCTACCCACTCAAGGATGATGGCATCGGTTTGGAGTTTGGGGAACCGCCTCAGAGACCGCTTGTAAGAGCAGTGCGGCTCGACTATCCGTGAACCGCCAAGCCAGCAGAAGGTGTTGCAAGGTGGGCCTTGATCAAGTATAGCGGAAAATCCGTCTGGCTTTGCGCAATGATGGGTCTTGCCCACTCCAAGACCGCCGTTTGTTGTGGTCCAGGCGGGCGCCGAAACATGGCAACCCACCGAATGCGCGAGCTCAGCTAATCCGACAGCCGTGACTATCCGTTGGTATGGTTGCCCATTGGCAGTCATAGTGCTCCTGATGCCCTGTAGGACCAAGAGCTTTGTGAGCATGATCCAGCCCGATCTGCAAGTGTAGGTGTCGCCCTCCATGATTGGCTCACCCGAAAATATTTCAAGATGCTCATAAGGATAGCACCGTGCCCAATCACTGTCGCCGCCTCCGTTTACTACAGCAGTGTAGAGACTGCCACCGATGATCAAGGAGCCGCCATGTCAAGCTGACCTACTACACTCCAAGGGGCAGTCGGGCGCTGCTCACTTTGAGCCGTGGTTGTGAAGAAGCCATGTGAAGGTGCGCCATGCCTATAGCAAGCCTCGACATCAGCAATGAGTCTGGCACTAATGAATGTGATCATTTTCCCCGTGAGAAGGTTTAGCTCAGGCGTGTGAGTGCGGGCGCCCTCACGTACCTGAGTGTCCCCCCCCCCCACCCATTGAAAGGCCCCTCCTCGGCACTCTGCGGGGCCAGCCGCAAGCCTTTGGTAGGCCTTTGGTAGATCACCGAGCCACCAGATATGCTCCCCCAGCGTGGGCGCATTTAGCGAGGGCTCACTACTGTGAAGTGAATGGGCTGGCAACCTTAGCGCGCAACTGCAGGAGCCCTCTCTGGGTCAGGTCCAAGGACTTGACCTGTCCGGACAGCGTCACCGAGCAATAGATACAACTCAACCCTGAAGACCGCACGCGCCAGAAATCCAAGAAGGCTCCAGCTGCCGTATGAGTGCGGGCGCCCTCACGTGGCATGTTGGACCTCTGCAGCCCTACCCCAGGTCCAGTGGTGTCCAGACCTGGTCTCCTGCGCTGGAAGAAGAGCAGGGCATTGTTCCGCATTCTCGCGACACCTAGATCAAGCAAGTCAGGGACGTGGAGCCTGATCGAGAGGTGGGTACAATTAAACCGTGTCACATTCGCTGGGCGCTGGGTACTAGGGAAGACGGACGCTGAGGTCAC